CATGCATATGCATGCAAGCCCTGCGCTCAGGGCGCCCACCTGGCTGGTGCATGCGCTCCACAGGTACACACAGGTCCCCAGCCCCACACTGAGCACGTTGAGGGACGACCAGTCCACCAGGTTCAGGTAGAAGTCATCCTGCAGCTCAGGTGCGTCCAGGACCTTGAAGGGGATTTTCGAGATCTTGCGGGTGGGTTTCCGTGGGGACCGTAGTAACTTCTGACTGTAGAGACGGCGATGTGGCACCAATCAGCTGACACGTTTTGTGTTACTTTCTGGCAGATGCACAGAAAGTATCTCCTCCCCTGCCGGCCCCAGGATCCCCGTTTGGCTCCACGTCGTGGTCTCTTGGCTCGTCCTGCCCCTCTGGTCACCTCACCAAGTCATGCCAAAACTGGGGACAACTCCAGGGCTGCTGAGGCCCTTCGCCCTCAGGTGTATAGCCACCCCGGGCCCCACTTCTCCTCCAGGGAGTCCTCCTTGACTCCCTTTTCTCTGGTCTGAGGCCAGCGCTGCCGGGCTATTGTGTCCTCGGTAAGGAGGAGTGCTCTGGGCCACCTCTGTGCCTGGAGCACAATTCTATTACTCTGAGGCTCTATTCATGGCTTCTGAGGGGGGCCAGGTCCTCTCTGCTCCCAATGCCTCCGGCAGAGAACGTGTCCTCACCTCCAAGTCCATCCTCTCCTGGGCAGCCCCAGCTTCTGCCCCCAATCTGCCCGCCCGGAACCCGTCGGGATGGTGCCACTGCCTGAGGAAGCCTGGACTTACCTTTTGTTGCTGACAGGGGACAAGGAGTACGGAGACACGTCGTTGCCATCATCGGGGCTCGAGCGCTTGGTGCTGAGGGAATACTGGGGACCAGGGAACACGTCTGCTGAGTGGACACTGTGGCCCAGAGCCCGGGAACCTGAGACCCACACCCGGTTACCCTGCGCTCCTAGTAGAGGCAGGTGGGGAGCAGGGCATGTTCCAGCTCCCTGCAGCTCACATGCCACTCACTAGGGCACATGCTGAAAGTGCGCCCAGAGGAGTTCTGAACAGGATGAAGCCAGCCAGGCCTTGCACCCGAGATGTCCTCCTGGCAGCAACTGCAGACACTGGCCCCTTCCCTCCCTGCCCCATGGGGCCGCCAGTCCTTCAGCCCCCTCTCTCTCAGGACCCAAGCCAGGCCATCTGACCCTGCCCTCGGGCTCCCTGACCATTTGGAACAGCACAGGAGGTTCGCTGGGGGCCAACTGCTTGTGCCCAGGTTGGGAGGACCCTGGTACTTCCTCCTCTGCCCCAGAAGCTGCGTGCCGGTGGGTCAGCTGAGCACCTGCCACAGGGTCACCCTTGCCCCAGCACGAGTGCAGCATGACTGGCCTGGGTGGTGTTAAATGCAGCCTGGCCTGGTCCTGCCTCCCCCAAGCAAGGGTCCTATTCTCTCTGGTAAATGAAAGGCTGGTGTGGGGGAAAAGGGGGACCTGCAGAGGCTGAGCCTGGATTCTCTGAGCACCCCCATCTCCGAGCTTGCTTACTCACTGGGTACCCCAGCCTCACGGCACTGGAGGACGGGAACCATTGCCTGGCCAGCTGGGAAGAAGCAGGGTCAGGGTGGAGGCTGAGTTGTGGCCAGGGGCAGTGCTCTGATTGGTCCCTGGGGCCTGGGAACCAGGCTGGGGATGGGCAGGTCTGGGCTCCCAGCAGGGCGGCTAGGCAGGGAGGGCGGGCCAGGTCAGCCACAAGGCTCACCGTGAAGAGGCCCTTCTTTTCTGGCGTGGAGGGCTGCAGCCTCCGGTCCTCGGTCTGCGGGTCCTGCACCTTCTCGATGCCGGCTCCCAGCAGCTCGTTCTTCAGCAGGGCTGAGTAGGCCAGGCTCACTCACTCACTCACTCGACACCCCCGGCCTTGAGGGCAGGGCAGGACAGCTTCGAGGAGCAGAGGCTTGGGTGATCAGTATGTGGTACACAGGGA